CCTCAGTAATATTCTTGTAAAGAATACGCATGTTTATGCTTATATGCTTAATGCTTATATTCGTAACAAGATCCGAAATTTCGATTGAAAATTCATACAAAAATCTTGCTAGGATACAAGGATTTAATACAGGATTATTTATATGACCAGGGTATTAGCTGCGGCCCGCTATTGGTTTCGTTTCGAGGTAAAGGACCAACCGTCTCACCTCTACCACTTCATGAGCGGTAAAACCTGTACCTCGCGGTAGAAATGTGGACGATGTGTGGGACATACGGAGAAGCGCGGTCAGACCTTTTGTATTAAAACTATAGGTTAACAGTCCTGTTTAGTTTTTGTGGCAACTTTTCTTTAATAATTAAATATTTAATTTCATCTTTTAATAATCTTTTTAAAATTTATCTTAATCTGAATGCTTTCTTTATGCAGCTCCATGCGCATTGATTGAGAACACTAAATTTTCTGTGAAAACTTTTCTGTCAGAGTCAAAATTTAATAATATATATTTATAAAAATTGGGCCGAATTTCTCAAGTCGATTAATTTTGTTTTCGGGCACTCAATCGTTTGCCAGTTTAAGCCGAAAATGGCCATATGTACATGCGTTCGAAGATCATGTCTCACTCAGCATATGGTAGTGATAATATATGGTCATATCATACGTGTATATCTCAGCGCTTATATGGTGCCAAGTCTCGTTGCTGGCCATCCCTTGCTTGGAAACATTAATCAGTAGCGTCGGTTGTTAGCAACCGAACACCAAGTGCCACGCACGCCCCGTCGAGTTGTGGCGTCAGTGATCTTGGCACCGCGGCAGTGGGGGCAGTGACACGTAGCTCGTGGTGACTGCCGGGCCGTGTCTTGGCACCGCGGCAGTGGGGGCAGTGACACGTAGCTCGTGGTGACTGCCGGGCCGTGTCTTGGCACCGCGGCAGTGGGGGCAGTGACACGTAGCTCGTGGTGACTGCCGGGCCGTGTCTTGGCACCGCGGCAGTGGGGGCAGTGACACGTAGCTCGTGGTGACTGCCGGGCCGTGTCTTGGCACCGCGGCAGTGGGGGCAGTGACACGTAGCTCGTGACGTAGCTCGTGGTGTCTGCCGCGGAGTGTCGAGGGCACCTGGAAGTGTTCCTGTGAAGCACTGACGTGTCTGTTCTCCTGCTTATCAATAAAGGATACTCTTCCTTTGCTATTACTCCTCAATAAAGACATTTTTCTGTGAATACTACTTTGTCACAACCGTACTTGCCATTTGTCACACACATTGGGCGCCAGATTTAGTTTTAAAAAAGTCTATGTCATAGACAAAGCGGTCGATAAGGCACTCGGTCTAAATGGTGTATATAGTCGCGTCCATAGCCACGCATCGCTGACGACACAAGTTTGTTGTCACTTATATTACTGACGCAGCATTGCTGATGAATTAGAACAATTACTTGCTTACAGTACGATTCATCGTCATGCATAATTTACGTAATGATTGGCATGTAGCATAATGTTGTACATTTAAAATTAACGTTAATTTAAATTTAACATGTGTCTGATCTAATTTTTATAATTGAATAAGTATAGTCAGCATCTATTCACCTGCAGCAGCGAAGGTCAACAGTTTTTCAACGCTGTTTCTTTTAGTTTGAGCTCTCGATATGCGACCCAGCCTTTATGATCGGCCTGCACTGAGACGTGGCCATGACAACACGTCGCTGACGACGCTTTACTGACTTCTACTGGAGCGTGTCATGCGGCAGTGTGGGAAAAATTTGCCCTTATCAAATGTCAGAGCTTGTGAAGATTCACTATGGTTTTAGTTTTGTGGCATCTGTATATATGGTTGATTATATACCTCATATAAATGATATAATATATACCTCATCTGTATATAAGATTGATTATATACCTCATATAATATTCCTCTTCTGTATATAAGGTTGATTATATACATATATGCAATCCTCACTCCATCCTCCCCAGGCGCCGACTCTTTCATATCTTTCATAACCGCCACAATCTCTTCTCTTTCAGGCACTTCATTCAGTCGATCATTTGCCTCTTTCGCTCTTTCACACTCTCGCAGGTCAGTCGCACCATTTACCGCCCGTTCTATTACTATCGGCTCCTCTTCATACCTCTCGCACGTCACTCGCTCAAAATGCTCCTTAAATTCATTTACACAGATATTCGCACTCGCTCCCGCCTTGCATCCTCTCATGCCAATCTTCCTCAAACACTTGTACATGTCTCCCACTCTGCCTGTCGCACACGCTTCCTCACATTCCCTAATCTTATTCTCCCATCACTCTCGTTCAAGCAGCCTCAACCGTCTACGCAAAGCTCTCCTCGTCTGCTTCACCTCCTCTCTCGCTCCAGCCACCTCTCTCTCCAGCCTATCCGTCAGTCTGCCATCTCTCCTCTGCCTCAGCCTTCTCCTATTCCCCACCAGTTGCACCCTTTCATTTCTCAAACGCACCGCTGCACGCACCCTCTCATTCAGCGTATTTAGCTCGTCTTCATACCCAATTGTCCAGGGATTCTGAACCCCCTTCTCACATACTCCACATACTTCTTTCGCCGCCTCAGTCATCACCTCCGCAAGTACCTTCCATTTATTACCTTCACTTATTCTCTCATTTGCCTCAGTCATCCTCTCATTCGTTTCCACCTTGTATTATTTTACCGCCGCATTAAGTGCTGCTGGCAATGTCAGGTAATGGATGAGCCCCGAGGCGCCCGACAAGCAGCGGCGCGTGTTTGGTCGCGCGCTTGACGACGCTGCATGCACCAGCATTACCAGTCATATATTAGCAACTAACTTCTAATATATTAATTTGTGCTGCTTCTTCACTTACAGGAAATATATACAGCCTGATGCAATTTTATTAACATCTACCATGTATTCGTTTATTTTATATAATTAGATGGTAATAGATGATGGGAAATAGTTCGTCTTAATTTATTCCTTTTGTAAAGATCACCGTTGATTGAGCGTAAGTTGTTGACATGCTTATGAAGCTAACACGTATATTTGTGCAGACTATATCTAGAGAACTGTTGCAATATACGTTTGAAGACTGTGTCTTGAGGACTGTTTCAATATACGCTTGAAGACTATATAATGAGAACTGTTTCAATATTTTCTTTTGAAGACTATATAATGAGAACTGTTTCAATATACGCTTGAAGACTGTGTCTTGAGAGGACTGCTTCAATGTACGTTTGATGACTGTGCTTAGAAATGTGCCATTAAGGTTATTTAATCAAGAGAACAAAAACAAAGAACATGACCACCGCAACGTTAGAGTGCGAAGTTTATGACGGAGAATTCAACACGGGCAACCACAAACACCTGCGGCCACTCATTTTGTTTTTCCTGCATTTCAAATTTACAACGAGCTTCTGGAAAAAGAATTTTCCCTCAATGTAAACATGGAACTTCTTAGCCCATTGACCAAATGTCAGTTAATTACGCATTACACCAGTCGCCACGGCTATAAAATAAAAAAACTGCCGTGCAACTCATCCACGCGACAACATTTCTTCTCGCTTCGAGCCACCGACATGTGGAACAGCCTCCCTGAAGATATTGTTGACGCTCCGAGTATGAACGCGTTCAAGAACAGACTAGACAAGGCCATGCATGAGCATATGTTCAGTCTTGAAATGCCTCGTATCCTACGAAACAACACAAATCTAGAAGCGATTTAAACCTACCGCCCGTTGAAAAGATTTGATCAAAAGGTCAGTCCAGTCAAGAAAAGTACAAGAATCGGCGACAGGCCTATCCAGGCCTATTCTTCAATGCCGAAGATACTATACTTTACCATCAGAAAACGAAACAATTCAACGCATCAGGTCATAACCGCCAGAGATATTGTGCCCTCAAATATCATAATATTTAGTATCAACATATTGTAATTTAATAAATAATAAGAGTTAATTAGTATTATAATACTTCTGTTGTATCGGTCGGGTGTTAGACGTTGAGTCAAGACTCAAGACCCGAGTTTGTCCCTAGTATTCCCATCCTAATAAGTAATGCAGAGACGGGAAGTACAGTGACGGATTAAGCCATTTATTATTGCTCGATAATCGAACTAAAGAACGCATCTTGAGCAGCGGTTTCTTACCATCGAATCCTTCCATTTTCTTTTTATTAAAATATATTCTTGTTTTCAATGCCGTGTTATTTTAGTGATCCAAATTTAAATTCGTGTTATTTTAGTGATCCAAAACTTTATATTCCCAATTGAAAATCTTCATTATTGGTATTTTATGTATTTTAACTTGTTCACATATTCATATTTAACATATTCACAGGCAGTGAGGCAAATTGCCATTTTCTACAACCCTAATTTCATAAGCCACCATTTATCAGTTATTGGGCGCTGCCGCATATAAGCTAAAAAATCAGAGTTCACTCATATAAATTTATGGGTCATATTGTCCAAAAAGTGACACACTTTCTGCTGGTAGCACTGATACATCCTTTTGCCGGGAAAACTGAGTCAAGAAGGCCCACAAAGGGCAAGAAGTGCATCACTATTTGGACAAAGTCTGTCGATTTCTCCGAATTTTCCCGTTAAGGTCCTCAAGATGACGTCACCTCACAAGTAACATCAGATACTTGCATGTCAGACGCAAGTGAGACGTGCAAGGCAGTAAATTCAATCTCAATAAAAAGTATGGTAGCTAAATTTCTTCTTGTTTGAATCTGTAAAAAGTTCACTAATATCAGGCAATGTAAATTGTTTATGAAGATATTTTTGCATCGTTTATACCCTCATTCGGTTTTGCAAAATAAAAATTAAACACGGAATTCTTCAGCCAATTATTCAAGGAAGTGCACGGAGAAGAATCAGCGCAATATATATAATAGCGCCAGCAGGAATATGCGCCTTCGGTGACTTTCATGATTAAAATATTTATTTCCTGTTTTTAAAAACTGGAACGCTGGGGAGAAACCTCTCTTCTGTAACTAATTGGAAATATGAATTAGTGGGAAGATGCATGACGATTTCTAAAATCAGTGCTTCAGCTCCCCATACAACCATTTTGTTACGCATTATCAATGATTACTCCTAACTTAATAATTCCGATCTAAATTTTGAAGAATGAAAGATTAGTGTTATTGTAGATGAACGGGGGATTAGAAATTTGGCTTGGATACACGTGCAACTTTCAATAGTTTATATAAGATTTACATGCTTGAAGCACCAGGTTTCGATGTTGACGTGTAAGTTTCAAACAAAGTACGAGTATATTTAAGCGTCTTCGTCTCTCCTCTGGTTTAGGATTATGGAAGGCTACAATAGACTTTGTTAGCGCAGTAGAGTGGAAGTTAATTCGAGTAAAATAACGAGTTGCCTTTTCTTGAAGGAAAGAAGTGATGTCGACCAAACAATCGTATTAGATCAACAGATGCTGGATCACTATCACTCAGAAGGCTTGCGTGAAATGTACTTATATTTTTGTTGGAAATCGCTCAACAATAGTTACATGAAGCCTTTAAACTTTTTACAAGAGGGCTAGTGCGATGATAGAGTGCGACGTTTGTAACGAGAAATTCGACTCGGGTAACCACTAGCCGCTTGGCCAGCCTTGCGGCCACACGTTCTGATTCTCTCGCATTACCAATTTACTAAAACTACCTGGAACCTAAAATTGCACAAAACGTAGGAAACAATTTTCCCAACGAATTGATCAAATGAGTCTCCAATCATATTTGCGAGATAAAGGAGAAATTGGTCGAAAGTCGGTCAAAAACGCATTGGTTCCTTCAGAAAACACAGCTCGCCCACATCCCCCGAGCTCGCTGTCAAAGAAACCGTGCCTCCATCAAGGGAAGGCGCAGGATTACCTGTGCGTGGACTGCTTGGAACTCGTGTGCTTCAAGTGTACCAGGAACACGCATAAAAATCACACAATTGAGTTATTAGACGACCTACTTCAAGAGGATGAATCTGTTATGAACTCGTGGACGAAAATACGGACAACAATATACGACAAACTCGGGCGCTTGAATAACTTAGTCTCCTTATCAGATGATATACTGAGTTTGATTGATGAAATCATCAACCTGAAGACTGAATTTCAAGCTTGGAAGGATTCGCTGGTGGCCCAAAAAGTGTCTACAGAGCAAGACCTCCAGGCTTGGCATGCCCCGGCCACCGGTGTGATTGAGGGGAAGCGACAAGAATGCAAGGAAATGCTTTGTCGTCTAAAATTGAAACCTCAAGAAAATATGGAGATACCAGAGATCAAAGCGAGGTTGTCTGCAGCTTTGAAGAAATGTGATTCATTACAGGTGAGTGGAATAACATATGTGAGGCGTATATGTAGTTAGAATACAGAGCAGGAGTCTGCGCTGATTTGAGTTACTTAGCAGGTTATACATAGCAGGTTTAGAGCAGAATCTGACATGCTTGTCTCATACAAGCAGGTTTGAAACTCTTAGGGGTAAGTTGAAATGTATTGCCAAAAAATGATCAATCTTATATTGTAATCAAAATATGAATGCCGAAAATTGGAGAATTCAAGTATTAATATTGTGTTGGGCACGTTTATTTGGAGTGTATCTAATGTTGCTAACGACTTAATAGATTCTAAATTTTAGATTCAAGGGCCTGCTGTTACGGCGACGGCGCGGCAGTGCGCCGGCGCTGGCGCGGCCGTGCTGCGAGTGCAAAACGACCTTCAGGCGACGCCACCGCAAGGCGCAACTACGGGAGCGACTCCTCGAACATTCCAGGCTCCTGGGCTGGTGAGTCATCGCTCAGAGAATGAGGGTCCATGTACAAATAACGTAGAGCTTATCACTCATGTGTGGGTCTTCCTGACACAGTTTTGCCCAGCAACAAGCCTGAAGACGTGCTACAATAACCCATTCAAATTCTGAGTTTATGCCCCCACTGTCATTGTGCGCTACTCAACGAATACATTGTGATATAAAAGTGTCCTGGATGGCCATATATAGCGATAAAAATTCCCTCTCTACGAGTCTCGACATTAATTGTCCGATTCGTATTTTTTTCGTACCGATTACGACTCGTACCGACTACGACCGATTCGTATTTTTTCCATATTGCTGGTTTAATTCTAAAAAACATTTGTGTTGGTTTGATTCCGAAAAAACTTTTGTTCAATTGATTCATGCAATATAATCTTATTTTAATTTCTACGAGAAACAAGGATAGATCTAATGATTTTCAAGAGAGGGAATAGAAGCAAGATTCAGGACAAAAATATAGATTTTAATTATTTTACCTTCGTGAGGAAGCATGAACTATTACTCTGTATTTAAATTGAGAAATTTTTGAAGGCTGAAGGCTATAGCAAACGATACTAAAAAATTGATAATGCTTCCTTTGAAGCGGGAAGTAATAACGTTCATCTGCCTATAAATACTTTTCTTATATTAATTGGCCTTTTCTACTTTCGCGCAACCCATTCATGTTACTGAACAACCACTATTGCATATAGAATTACTCTTCGCCTAAATAAATTACAATATGAAAAGTTTACGTATAATTTTCAGACATCTGAGCTTCCACCATATGACGACAGTGTGCCTTGGACAGTCACCAGCCGTGCTGAAGAAGAGCGAGCTGTCGCCAGGCTGCGCAACAACATCAAGCCCAGTCGCCTCGTGGTGCTGTCCACTAACACCCGCCCCATCCCGAGGCTGGGGGAGCTGCTGTCCCGCCTTGCCGCCCACCACACCGGCGACATCAGCCTGCTGCCTCTGGACCACTTCTGGAGGCCGGCAGGACAGGCGGATGGAGGCATGGCAGCCATCATAAACAATTTAAGGTACATTGGTCAATAAATTGACAACTCACATAAATAGTCGCAATATAGGCGTGTTAAAATAAGGATAAAATGCTCACTACCTATATATGTACTTTCACTGGCATTATAGGAGATCGTTGCAAGGAGGCATAGGTGAGGAATATTTTCCAACAATTAAATGCGATTTATGACCATGAAATCAGCGAAAAAGAGAGAATACAGAAGATCATAATTTAAAAAAAAAACAATAAAAGCTAACGCAAGTATATCGAGTATCATCCCCCCTCCCCCGTGTAAACTATCCAAGCCCTGACGGGTTCCCTCTCCCCAACCCTAACCAAACCCCACCCACCAATAGCCATCCCGACCATGCGTCATGCTCATGTCTCATCTCCTACTGTCCTGTCTCATCTCCTACTGTCATGTCTCATCTCCTACTGTCCTGTCTCATCTCCTACTGTCCTGTCTCCTCTCCTACTGTCCTGTCTCATCTCCTACTGTCCTGTCTCATCTCCTACTGTCCTGTCTCATCTTCTACTGCCCTGTCTCATCTCCTACTGTCATGTCTCATCTCCTACTGTCCTGTCCATTTCTCCTTCCTCTTTCTGGCCAATCTACGCTATCTCTTGGTCGCCGTCACTCTTTCCTAGTTGTCAGGGCAACCTCTAAGGCCGTAGTCGGAAGGAAGGACAATAACGAAGAGAATTTATTTTTCTTTACTAAGCATAACTAACATTAGAATTAACAACAAATTATGAAGTTTATGAGCGGTCAACTTGCTTAAGGTTAGTCACCAGAAAGTGACTAAAAGAAACGGTCAATCTTATAAATTAGAAACATATAATAACGGTGAATACTAGACTGAATCACTTCGTTGATAGTGACTACTAAACTAAACAGTCTACGGTCCTAGTCGGCTTCTCACGGGCTCGCACACCAACACAAGCGGTATGGATGCACGCATAAGTACCCCATGCACTCAACTAAAAGCAAGATTTAAGGCCGGTCCACGCGCTCAGTTTTCACGATTTACCTGCGCAGTTTTAAGTTGGAATAAAATCTTTGCAATTTTTAGAGCGTCCACACGATGCCGACTTATCGGAGTAGTTTGCTCAGTTTTGCGCGATCTCGCCATGGAGACGTCTCGGACAAATTTACGGCCGGACTTGCAGCCGGTCTCCCCAAATTCGGTGAGCATGGAATATCTCCCAAAGTAAAGAACGTTGCTAGATAAAACTTGGTACTCGTATTCATTAGGACTTAACGGTGATGTTTAGCTCGTGAACATTTTAAGAATTTCACCTTCATTCGTGAGTTATATGACGATACGTGCCGAAATTTGCAGTGAGCATGTCATTTCTTCTTAACTACTGTACAGGTACAGATTTAAACGAAACTTTGAATATATAAACCTAACCTCCCAACGGCGATGTTTAGCTCGTGACAATTTTTTAGATTTACAATTAGATTTAGCTCGTGACAATTTTAGATAAAGCCGTATAACTCGCATACGAAGGCAAAATCGGGAAAATTATCACGTGCTAAACATCCCCGTTAAGAGGCCCGTTCAACGCGCTCAGCCGCGGTAGTCGTCTATGGACATTCTTAACTATGAATTCGACAGATAACTCCTCTCATAAATAAGATACAAATCTGAAATTTGGAATGCTATCCTGGCTAATTATTTTCAATCTGTGGACATTAAGATAAATTATGTAAACTTTGTATTACCAGTGTTATCGCTAACGAAAATTTTGAACCATAAGGATCGTAAAACGAGCGACTTTTCTGACATTTTCGCGATACCAGTTTGTTTAACTCGTTATTCTTCATTGATCACTATACCAAGCATTTCTGAATAATTTTTCTGGTTGTAGTTATATTCGTTTTTAACAACAGGTCCGTGAATTTTCCGTAGATTTAATCGAGATTTGCCCCTTCGTTGTCGTACTTGGCAGGAAAGGCAGGTCTGTCTTCTGGTAATAAATCTTCTGTGGGCCCGCGGTAAACATCCTCCCTCCCCCCCACACACTTTGCAGTCCACTCAGCTTTCAAAGTGCTTGTCTGGTGCTGGTGTGACTTTAAAAAGGCCAAGACTGACAATAAATGTTTGCATGCATAGTCAATAATGTGTAAATATTGTCAAGCTGGTCGTAAATAAATGGCATGCGTTACGATGATTACGGAGAAATAATCTTAATTGCGTTTCAAAATATGAAGCAAACGAATGCATAAACAACACAATTCAAACAATACTGATCCTTTTCGCTGATGCATACTGATGACTGAATCATACTGATGACTGAACCATACTGATGACTAAACCATACTGATGACCGATGCATATTGATGACTGATGCATACTGATGATTGATGCATACTATTGACTGATGCATACTGATGACTGATGCATACTGATGACTGATGCATACTGATG